TAATTTATATACCAACCTCCATCTACCCAACTCCACCTCACTATCCTTAACCCTAAATTTCAATTCTCTCTACCTCTCAGTCTTGCTTTCCTTCATTAGCATTGACGTCATCACCATTTCATTCACCAGCACTAGCATCGTCTCTCTCTCTCTCTCCCTCCCTCGCGACAATAGTTTGTCCATGAAATGATGGGGGTTTCGTCGGATTAGGTGCAGTTCTGCAGTAGCAGCGATTTGGCCATGAATGATGAGATCTGTAGTAGCAACGATCTGACCGCGAATGATGGGAGTTTGGTCAGATTTGGTGGCACCGTAATGGTAAGATGGGGTTGGGGGTGGTGGTGTGCTACTGTAATGCTGTAGGTATGTCGATGGTGTGGTGGTTGCGTGAGTTCTGTGATGCTGTGGGTATGGCAATGTTGGTTATGTGATGTCGTGGGTGTGGCGATGGTGGTTCTGTGATGCTGTGAGGGTGGCAGTGCAGTGGCGGAGGTGGTGGTGTGCTACTATAATGTTGTGGATGTGGCGGTGGTGCGATGGTTGAGTTTTTTCATGTTGTGGGTGTGGCTGTGGTGGTTCTAGTGCATGAAAGTTTTTGGTGGCATTTCGACTGATGACAGTGATGAGTGGTAGTCACATTTGGTTGACTGTGACCATTAAATTGATTAATATGTGATCAATAAACAATATGTAATCAATAAAAAAGGTATATTGTGACCAACAAATAATATGTAACCTAAAATTTTGTTAATTTATGACCAATAATTTGATAATTTTTGACTCTTTAATAAATTGTGATTTATAAAATTTGTGCTTTGTGATTGATAAATAAATTGTGACCAATGAATAAATTGTGACTTATAAAATTGTTGATTCGTGATAAAAAATAATAAATGAATAACTAAATCGTTAATTTGTGATCAAATTGTATAGATTTATGATTTTAATTTATTAAATTGATAAATTATATAATTAATTAAATCATAACTAAATTTTAATAAAAATATGATTTTTGAAATTTGAAATCTTTGTTCTTAATTTTGAAATGAGTGATAGCTAATCTTTATGTATTTTTCACTGGATTTAATGGTTTTCAAACAGGGCTTAGTGTTGAATTGTCCAGCCCCAAGACTGAGACCAACATCAAGCCCAAGCCCAAGCCCAAGCCCAAGCCCAAGTCCAAGCCCATGAACTCCCTACTTTGGGATATGTCCAATGGCTCTCATGCTTCCCATAAGCTGTTAACCCCAAACTCAGAGTAACCTAAAATATGAGCTGTTAATCCCCAAACTCAGAGTTCAACCTAAAATTTCCAATTGCTCAATTGAGCTGTTAATCCCCAAACTTAGAGTTTAACCTAAAATATGATTAATAGTTTCAAATCATGGGGACTGCGTGTTTTCTACTACCCAAATTCAAGAACTACATTTCCCCTTTTTTTCGCGATCTCCACCAGTTTTCGTCGTCCGCCGCTCTAATCCGACGTGCCTGGACTCTCCTCCCGGAGGAACCCGAATCCGATGAGCCGGATGGCGGAAGCTTCGTTTACAGGCGCGCCCTCAAGTACCAGCGACCCATCACTGTTCAATACGATGAAAGCTTGCGCAACTCTGTCAGCTTCATTGGTACTATAGACTACCCTATCAAAAACTGCAATACCACCAATGGACATTTTGGCGTGTATACAATGCTCAATGTCAAAGCTTCCCCTGGCCTGTACCGCGACTTGAGGTAAGGATTCCATCAATAATTGTTTCTGCTTATAGTTTAATTTAGTTTATTTTTTATCTATATTTTTTCTGCGTGGGCCGTGCGCTAGTTATGTACCGGTTTATGCTAGCGATGGACGTGATTTTATACACATTGTACAGGGTACTGCTGAAAATGTGGCATGAAATGGCTGAAATATCGGTACAGCATCTCAAGCCAAACGATTTAATTTATGTTTCAGGTCATCTAGGATGGTATACCAAGGTGGACGAATATGGGAGGTGTATTCGTTGTCATGAGGTTTGAAATGCTATTTTCTTTCGCAGTTATCAAGTGTCTGGCATAGCTTTTCTTTGTGCAAGATATATCCACTGCTCCCCTTATTGGAACACTAAAACAGAGCAACGCAACTTGAATTTGGAACCTTACAATATCATGACCTAGTTGTTAATTCTTTTTATTCTTCGACCGAGGCTATGTTGCCAAATGCCGAGATGTAATACGCAATGCAACTTGAATTTGGAACCTTACAATATCGCGACCTAGTTGTTAATTCTTTTTATTCTTTGACCGAGGCTATGTTGCCAAATGCCAAGATGTAATACTTCTATGAGTTGTGCCCTCTTGCTTTTGTTTATGAAGGAGTTCTGTGTTAATGTAAGTGATTATATGGTTGGAAGGTGGTAATTTTCTTTTACTAAGGAATCAAGGATATAGCTCTCATTCCTATAGAACGTATTTTAGCAATATTGTGTTCTCAATTAAGTGTTAGTTCTCATCTTGCTTTAGTCCACTAGTGTTTGTTCAAAATTTACTTATTGTTTGGTGGAATTAAAATGTAGTCTCTAATTGAAATTCAGAAAAGAGGTGAGTTTCAAAATACTAGTTACAAGGCTCAAATTTCATATCGTCAAACGTATTGGAAGTGTATTCTATTAGTTTATGTTACCTCTTGTATTAATACATTGAAATAACTTCTTAGTATCAATTTATAATTTTATTTGGGACTAGATGAAACTCTCGACCTGAATTCGAACCGAACCGAGGCGAGAGGTTCTTCTCAAGTGAAATACCCGAACGGGTATCTGAATCAAGAATCCGTAGGTTTAGTTCGATTCTTAGTTCTAGATCAAGAATCGAATAAAAATCGAATCTAACTATTTTTTTTTTTTTTGTATTAATACATTGAAATAACTTCTTAGTATCAATTTATAATTTTATTTGGGACTAGATGAAACTCTCGACCTGAATTCGAACCGAACCGAGGCGAGAGGTTCTTCTCAAGTGAAATACCCGAACGGGTATCTGAATCAAGAATCCGTAGGTTTAGTTCGATTCTTAGTTCTAGATCAAGAATCGAATAAAAATCGAATCTAACTATTTTTTTTTTTTTATCTTAAATAAGCCAATTTATTTTATTTTTCTAAAGAAATTTGCACGTTAGCCCAAATTGAAAATATGATTTTTCTATTTTTAATTTTCAGTAGAAACCTAACCTAATCAAATTGACCTAAGTTTTACCTAAATATCTTATTCTATTGTAGTCCGTTTCTGTCATTTAGGAAAAATCTAATTGAAAGCTCGATTGCTCCTCTCTTTATTATTGTAAGCACAATATCTTCCTCTTCATATGATTTTAACAATTAAATGTAAGAACTCAATAAAGAGATTAGTAAAAGATATCAAGGGATTGGACTAAGTTATTTTGTAAGAGATAAAATTGAACATGCTATTAGTTAAATTAATGTAGCAGTGTTGTACATATTAAAAAATTAATTATTGTACGGAACTTGAGAACCAAATGGAGCAGAATCGAACCGAACTCGAACGGTTTCATAATTAAATTTGGACCAGACGATTTTACTTACTAAATACTCGAAAATTCATGTTCGGTTCGAATTTTTTCAGAACTAAAGTCCAGCTTTAATTTTATTATTCATGAATCAACTTAATATATATCGTTGTTACTTTTTAAGAATTGATAGTATTTGTTATATTAGGAACTGAAGAATTTGTATAAAATTAAATTATCAACAGAAAAAAAAGTAAAAGAAGAATGAAAATCTATCAAATATATGTTATTATCATAAATTAAATCACAGAGGTATATATTATAATCTACACTCATATTATTCATGACAAATTCACATATTGCACACAACACATCACCATTGCCCAGCCCAGTCATAGATGAGATGGTTATTCATTTCAGGGTTCTTCTACATTTAGAATGATTGGATCAACTTCTCCGGCTTAAATTCTTGTTTTAAATTTCTTTCTGCAGATACATTTGTTGTATATATCTATTTTTAATTAATTAATTTTATTTTTTATTTTTATTTATGTGTAGGTGCAGGTTAAGGAGATAAATTTTGTTGCCCAAAGTGGTTTGGCTCCTGCTTGCAAGAAATCAAAAAAATTGGAATCAGGAGGTAGAAAACTTCCTTCTATTTTTGCTTTGGCGGTAACATCAGGCTACTTAGAACCTTTTTAACATTGCTTGCCACTAATATACTGCATACTAAAAGTAAATTGTTGATAACATTTTGAGCTATTCAGGTAAAAAGTGAATCATTGAATATAATACTTACTGGAAACTGGACTTCTTCGACTCAGTTCTACTGACCTAAAGATTAGCTTTTTGGAAGTAAATAATCATGCAATATTTAATGGACAAGGCAAACAATTGCTAATTTAGAGTAGCACAATTAATGGATGGGCAAGGGTTTGTGATATATGGATTTTTGATCAATTCGCAGATTCGACAGTAGATTATGCACAGAAGAAACGAGACAGACTCCATTTATGGCAAGTTTTCTTTACCAACCCTAATGAATGGTGGGATAATAGGAAGAGTAAACCTCGCCCAAATCATCCAGACTTTAAGCACAAGGATACCGGTGAGGTCCTTTGGCTCCAGGACAATGATCCTCCATGGATCAAAAAACAAGTCCAACTATACGATGCTAGATTGAGGGAACAAAGTCCAGAAAACATATTAGTCCCCTTTGGTTTATGAGGGCACATAAGGAATTGAAACTCAGATACGGGGCTCCAAGTGGTGAAAATGTGAGTTAAATATACTCTCCGTTAAATTGTTTCCAATAATTTAGATTGCTGCAGCACGAGGCATTTCTGATGTTTGGATCTTATAGCTTCCCATGCATTAAGAAGGAAGCAACTTTGTGTTTCAAACGAAATATCCAGGCCATAATTAAGGTATTGCAGCTTCAAACCACAAAGAAATTCGTATCTCCTCCTTCAGATGATTTGCTGAATACAACTTGCGTTGGTAAAGAAGCATGCACTGGTTAGTGACATGGTGTTGCGCCAGATAAAGAAAAGCTCATCAGCTCATATCCTCCTTGATATCTACTGTACAGAATTTTCTTCAGGAAAAAAGGTTACACAGGCTAGTGACTTGGTGTTGCTCTGTATTGTATTTACAAGTCATACTTTGTTACCTCGACTGAATATTCATTGGAGAACAAGCGTAGTGTAATGGTTTTACATGCATAAAGATTTGAGTGACAAAAGAATATACTTAAAATGAAACATGTATATTGTTTCTTCCTTCTGTCTAGTTATATTATGAACCCTATAACTTAATAATCTCTTTTATGTAAAAAATTTTCCCGGTTTTAATTTGGCCATGGAAATGAATTTTAACATTATCGATTCGTATGTCAGATAAAATTGTCTCATATTGATATGTGGTTTCACTTAATTTATTAATCAGGTAAGAAAATGCATGTAACAATGACGATGATGTTTTCTTCAAATATGATTCGAATGTTTTGTTAATTTAGAGTAGGGATGATAACTTGTATTGTAACAAGAATTTATTTAGCTTATTATTGCCATTGGAGTTGTTATCGTGTCGAAGAAAGCTTGTAATAAGGCGCCAGATAAATAAAATTCTCTAATAGCTTGGCCACAAATCCAAGGCGTGAGCACAAGACAATGTCACGTAACAAAAAAACACAATCGAGCCGAATCTTGTTAGAGTGCATTTGGTTGTCACACCTCCCATTATGGTAATGGTCGAATATGTAACGCGTGTTCTTAAAGTGTAGATATATAAATATCATTGTTCTAAAGGTCTTCTAGCCGTTTGCTACGCACGTTTAGACGTCTGCCTTTTTGTTAGTGACTCTTCTTGTTTTGATGTTCAGCCAAACAAAATGTTCAATTGCTAAAACTTATAAAAGAAACAAGTCCAACAAAAAATTTCCCTAGTTCAAACCCAAATCATGAAAATAGCTTTCTCATCCACGAACAAAGCATTATTCATTTGGGATATTTATGACTTTCAAGAATTATGTTTTTGTTAAAAATTTTGAAAATATGTACGAAGTTCTTACATATTTGTATTATTTTATTTATTTATTAATCTCAAATAATTAAATAGTATTAATATTAGAAAAATGCGTTGCACACCTAAGGCTTGGGACTTTGACCTCTATGCCTAGTCATGTTTCATGCCTTTTCAAACGCTAATAAACGCATTTGAACTATATTGTGCAAGTGTTATTGATTTGTAAGTTTTCTTTATCATAGGTTCCAAAGTGAAACAATTATTCCTTGTGTAAAGGGAAAGAAGTCACAAAATGTTTTCTAGGCTCTCACGTGGTGATGGGCCCCATGTAAATACTTTATTATCTAAAAAAACTACCCAGTCCCTGTTGTATCTTATCTGCACAATTTTTGTGAGTTTTTTGCCTGTACATGTAGTCTGTTCCAAAGTGAAAATACTGCAAGAACGATTGATTTGCATCATATAATAGCTTGTTAAAATCAAAATCTATCGATTTACTCTTTTATTTATTTTCTTCATTTTTTTTTACTATTGAGTTAAAGTATCAAGTTACTCTTGACCTTCTTCAAGTCAATTTTTGATAGAGATGATAATGCGGAGTGCTAGGACAATGCATTAAAACTTCAAGTATATGGTTATTCTAGTAATTTTCCCCGTCAACGGGGACATGTTGGCACACCCTTCCTCCGACAACTCCAATCAGGGACAAGCATTCTCAGTCACTTTTATATCTAGAAACCTATGTATTTTTTCCTGTTTGCTTGACTCATCAATTCCGTCTCCACTACGGTCACGCACCTTCACTTATTGCTTTTGTTTCAACCTCAAACATGTCCTCATCAAAGAGTTCAGTGCATCCACACAACCTAATTACTTTACTTTAATATCCCTATTCGATGTGTTCAAATAAATAATGTAATTTATTATTACCGTCAATGATCACAACAATAATGTCATTGTTCAATGAATCATGCTGTAGTAACATAATGGTTGATATAATATTACATGACATTCTATCGTTGGACTGTTTTAAACATAATCAACATTTCCATTAAATTATCTGTTGTCAATCGAGATTATGTCACTACATCCGTTACAATTTTTCCGGTCAAAATGACAAAATCCTTGTTCAATTACTAAAAATGTAATGATCATTGTGGGGAAATATTCAACTCGTACATTAATCCACATGATTATGGTTTGAAGGATGCGATATTTCAATGCCAAAGTGGGAAGGACGGACGATTGTGTTTAGTCAGTCAATAAGCCGCCTCAGTGGGGACAGTTTCTACCATTCAGGAATTCTAGTCCACAATTATCAAACTCACAAAATATCATGTGGCCCCATTTCGATCTATGCCTAACTTTTAATAAATTATTGCTCAAACTGTTGAATTCTTAGTAGTTTAGTTTTGCGAAATTTGGCTGGACACTACTCAATTATATTAAGGTTAAAGTTTTATTTTATTCTTATTTGTTACTTATATGAAGTACGCCATTGAATCAAAGAGTGATTGTGTGCTTATTGAAGTTAATTTCTTTAAATCCTTGCTTTGCATGATCGCAAATGGCACAATGGAATCAATGTATGAATATATTGAGAAGTTGCGAATAGAAATCACAACACATGAAGATGGTCGCATGTTTGCGAATGGATTGATTTTCTCGACCAATACGTTAATTTTTCGGTATGAAATCCTAAGTTTATCAACTGTTATTAGGATCGTGTTATGTAGATGTACAAGATGAATTTCAGTAAAATGAAGAAGGTGGTTCTTGAGTTGGGTTGTGTGTAAATGTATTGATGACTTTTAAGGTAATCTTTTCTACGTAAGGTGATGATGGGATTTGACGTAGTTAAAAAGTTTGATTTTGAATTTGACTTTGATTGAACATTGTGTCATTCTTAATTAAATGAAGATATCCATTGCTTGAAAAGAAATTAAGATGATGTGGTTCTTTTCATAAGTGGATATTACTGTGCAATTGTGATTAAACTTTCACATCGGCTAACCATAAGATCTATCAAGTTTTTAAGGAAATCAAGTTATTTCTTTTAACAAGTTAATATTTTGAGATAAAATTCTAAAGAGTAGTGTTACCCATAGTCAGCAACTATAATAATTATTTTATATAGCATCTTGTCATTCGAAGAAACAAAATTACTAAAAATAGTTAATACGTATATTATATTTTCAATATAGCATCTTGTTGCAATAAATATATCTGAGTTCTTAAAAATAGTTAATATGTATATTATATTTTCAATAAAGAATCACAATATAACTTGCTAAAGCTTGAGTCACGTTACTTTCAATTACAACAAAACTTTGTGATATTTCAATTATTTATTGTGAGTTGTTGGTAAGTCAAGATGTGTTTCATGCATAATATAATTTTCAAAGGTATCGTAACCTTCGACTTTCGAATGTCTAGAAATTGCGGATCAATAATTGTGAAAAATTATTCTATACAAAAAGCTCGTAGGGTTTGCATTAGCTGATCGAAGGCGAACTTATGATAACTAGCCCGATTGACTGTCCAACTCTATAAGATATATTAAGATATTGTAAAAACTATTAAAAAAATTTAAAGGAAGAAATGATTTTTTTTTTCTTTTCTATTTTTGATTGAGCAGGGTTATTTTTGTCAATTTCCAACTTCCAGTGAGTTAGTTTTCTACAACAAGAGCACAAGGCCGGCTTCCACTTCACCATTTCTTTACGTGACAACAACCTGTTAATCAAAATACGTCGCGGGAAATGGGGGTGACAGACTTATTCGCCGGCGAGATTGCCACAGAACTTCTTAAACAGCTCATTATCATATCTAGAAAATCCGCTTTCTGCCGGTCAAGTGCCGACCAGCTCATCCTCTATATCGAAGAGCTCCTCCCCATCATCCAGGAAATCAAGCATACAGGCGTCGAGCTACCTCAACACCGCCAGCGCCAGCTCGATAATTTCTCCGAGAGGCTCTCCGATGGGCTCGAACTAGCTAAGAAGGTCCTGAGTTCTCCGCGTTGGAACTTGTACAAGAACCTGAGATTTGCTCAAAAAATGGAGAAATTGGAAAAAACCGTGTCGAGATTCATGAATGTTGTAATCCAAGCGCACGTACTGGCCGACGTGCATCATGTGAGGGTCGGCATAGACGAGAAATTCCCTCGGCTGGAGCGGCAGCTGGAGGCCATGAAGATTGGTGTGGACGACCGTGGTGGGTGGCTGGGGGAGGCAGTGAACAGGGTGGAAGAGGAGAGGAGATTCGAGAGTACTTTGGCCAATTTAAGTGCTGGGATGGAATTGGGAAAGAGGAAATTGAAGGAGATGCTAATGGCCAAAGAATATACTGTAATTGGCATCCATGGAATTGGTGGCAGTGGAAAAACCACCTTGGCTGCAGAAATTTGCAAAGATGATCAAATCAAAAGTGAGCTGGATCTTGCTGACTATTTCGTTCATTCATTTAAATATTATCTTCAATCAGAATGTTCACTTTAACTTGATTCTTTGTTCCCAGGTTATTTCAATAACAGGATTTTCTTCCTTACTGTGTCTCAATCTCCCAGTGTGGAGCAATTGAGTGCAACGATTTGGAAAATGATATCAGGGAACACAATGGTTGCTAGTGGCAACATGTTTACCCCAGTACAACTCCAACATGATACGGAAATTTCTTCAAGAACTCTACTGGTTTTGGATGATGTATGGTCCCAATCTGTAATTGAACAACTAAAATTCAGATTTCCCAATGGTTGCAAAATCCTCGTGGTTTCGCGACTGAAGTTCCCTCTATCAGTTGTTGACAGCTCCTATGAATTGGAGTTGTTAAGGGAGGATGAGGCGATGGAACTATTCTGCCATTTTGCTTTTGGACAATCTTCAATTCCATTTACTGCTGATAAAAAATTGGTTAAGGAGGTATTAGTTAATTACATTTGTACTGGTGATAAATCTCTTTCTTATACTTGATTATTCCCAATGCTTACAGAAAAAGTATTCCAATTTCAATAGGTTGTGGATGAATGTAAAGGGTTACCATTGGCTCTTAAGGTGATTGGAGCGTCACTTAAGGGCCAGCATGAAATGTTCTGGACAAGCGCTAAGAATCGCTTATCAAGAAGTCAACCTCTATGTGAATCCCACGAAGTGCAATTGCTCGAGCGCATGAAATTGAGTATTGATTCCTTGAGAGATACGGTGAGGGATTGTTTCTTGGATTTAGGTGCTTTCCCAGAGGACAAGAGAATCCCTCTTGATATTCTTATTAACATGTGGATGGAACTACACGATATTGTGGAAGAAGAAGCTTTTGCCATCCTAGTCGA